ACTAGGACCCATCGAAAGAAAGACCCATAAAGAACCGGAATTACCGAACCGACGAATCAAGATGTCAGAACCCCATCGATCCTTGTCGGCGTACAGATCGGCTGAACAAGAATCGGAATTCGAGCCGCAGGCTCAGCAAGAGATACAAGATGTGGCCGACACTCCGCAGATGAAACACGCGGGAGTATACCCAGAAGACAGGCGGCAAGAGATCCGTCAAGGGAAAAAGCCTATTAAAGCAGGCACTGAGAGAAAGATCCTAAAGTTAGATCCGAAGAACCACTACTACCTTCGTTTTGAAGAATCCGTAGTCCTCGATGCTGAAGGTACGCCAACGAAGGCAGCTTCCGTAGGACTTCGAATCTTCCTTCGAAATCCTCATGGAGGAGACACCGTTACTAGGCCGGAGCGCCTTGCGACCTTTTACACCGGTGATGCTTTCTTGCGTCACGTCCAAGATGACCCAAAGGGATGGTTTACCCTCGTCCTTCGCGCGGCGAAGAACTACCAAGACGAACAAGAAACTATCATCGAACTATCAGCACGAGTACGAGAACTACGTGCGACGCTGGCCAAGGAAACGATGAAACCTGCCAATGCTTCCCTCGTTAAGAGAGAGGAGAAGTATATAGCGATAGATAACAAACTAAGCCGCATGCGAGCTCAGAGAAATAAGTATAAGTCTCAGCAGAAAGACCTCCAAGCCGAGATCGCAGAACTCAAAAACAGGGTTAAAGACCTTGAGACCGAAAAGAGCCAGGTGGACCCTGTAGAGCGACGATATACTGGTTTCTACGAATCTGAAGAGGAAGATCCCGTAGAGCTGCCTCCGCTGAGGCCCCGAGCTCCAGCACCCTCCCCGGCAGTCGTCGAGTCTCGTCACACGACTCCTGGCACCAATGCCTCAATGTCCACTTCTACCAAGAAGCGTGCTACAAAGCCTTTCCAATTCAAAGGCAGCGATGAAGACAAGAAGCTATTTGACAACTGGAAGTTCATGGTCAACCATTGGTTCCGCCTCGACAGTCACCTATATACTACCGAAGAAGCTGTAGGCTACGTTGCTTCCTGCACAGGTGAAGACGCATTTAGTGCGATCCGACGACGTGTCGAGTCAGAGGACGAACCATACATGAGCGTGAAGGAACTCCTTACCGATCTTGAAGAAGTCTTT